ATCATCATCATTATTATTTTTATTATCATTATTATTCAAGTTATAGCTCTTTAATTCAATCTTTGTTGCTACATATCGATCATCTCTCTCGACTATCCTTTCCAACAGGGCCCCTGTGAGTACGCCTGCATGTGTCCACCCGACGGCCGGATTGGGCGAGACTGCCGCAGCAACTTGGGCCAGGGCGGAGGTCGGAGCTCCGGGGCCAGGCAGGATGAGAACGGCGGGAAGAAGGTGGGGAGCCTCATCAACAGCCTGCTCGTCTTCCCCCACGACCTCTTCTGGGAGCTGAACCGAGTGGCGAAACCAGGAGAGGTCATCAGAACCACAACCCCTTCCGCTTCTGTTTCTGGTTCCGCTACTAGTTCCGGTTCCATTTCCACTTCCGGTTCCGGTCTTCTTCAAGTTCCCGTGACGGTGGCCACTGTGGAGAGTGAGAGAGGAGAAGCAGGTGGAGACACATTGCCCACCACTGAGGCTACCGTGTCCACGATTGCACTGGGGTCTTCTAGTTCGGCTGAATCGGCAGCTGGAACATCGTTAGGGTCCACGCAAGCGCCCGTGACGACATCTACTGATGCGATGCGACCAGCTTCAGGAGCCGTTCACCCACCAACTATGTCCCACCAGCCAGCAACAGCTTCAGAAGAAAAACACATAACAAAGGCTGCTAGAACAAGCAGATCATACAGTGATATTGCAGGGCCCCGTTCAATCACTACCACCATTTCCACCACCTCCACCACCACCATCGATGCTGCACCTGTTCAAACAACAGCACGTGCAGCAACTACGACCACAAAAGCTGCAGCAACAACAAGACCAACTACAACTACAGCTGAAACTACGACAATGTCAGGAGAGGCACCGTCGTCTACCACCACAACGATGAAAAACAAAATACAAACCGCAACCATGCCAACTTCTCATACTACCACTACAGCAGAATTAAAGTCCACAGTCCCTGCTCAGGTGGTGGCTCTATCAACCTCCGGGGAAATTGCTTCAACACCAGAGACTTCGGGGCAGGATTCGAGCCCAGAACTCATTACTTCTAATCCCGACGTTCAACAGAGAGCATCCATGTTCCTTGAAGCGCTCGCAACTCCACAAACACCACTGCTGTCCACCCCAAGTCAAGCAGGTCATCGCGCACACTCGTTATTATCTGTCTTGGCGAGTGGCATGAACTCTGATTCGACGCTGCGAATTGACCCAACAGCGGCCCAAAGTAACCCACGGGACTCAGACGGGAAGACAAGCCCTGTGCTTAATATCAGAAGAATCGCGGAAAATGTGAAAGGCAGTTTGTTAGGCCTAGCTTCCCCGCCAGCGGATTCGGACAGCTCAACGGCCGTGGAGACGTCGTCCACAGGTCACTCTGGCAGGCAGCGGGAGACTACCTCTCAGCCCTCTGTTTCTGGCAATTCTCAGGGTGTTTCTGGTGAGGATACCGCAAAACAAATTGGTACAGATCCCCTAAAGATGGCCCACCTCCAAGGTGCAAAAGCTCTTCCATCTACGCTGTCGTCTGTAGAATCTGCAACGTCATTAGAAACGAGGCCAGCTTTGGTTACGTCTGCCACAACATCTGTTAGTAGGAAACAGACGACAGCTCAAGGGCCTCCTACTAAGCCCACTGTCCTGTCGACCTCCTCAACCAGCGTCGATCCATTTGGAGCTAACAACGACTTTCCGAATTTCTTCCAGGGCGATCTGCAGAAGTCACAGGGCGCCGCAGACACATCAGACCACGCCCCTTTGAGTCTACTCGTGCACCGAGTCTTCCACCCCATCGAATCTTTCCCGATGTTCATCAGGAGGGACCAGTCGACCTCGTAGACGCGGCAATCGTTTCACGACAGACCTTGCATAGACTTGATGATTTCACCAGACAAGGACATTCTACTCGTGCTCTGGTATTAAACGAAAATATCAAATACGTACATGTATGACAAATATTGTGTTGATACTTACACTAAAAGCGTTTTGTCTCAGAGTGAAGAGGGAGAACACAATGACATCGACGACTCAATGCAGACTTAGCCTTATCGACAGCACACCCACGAAGAAGGGAGAACACATCTGATAGGCAGACGTACTCCTTCATTCACTTTGTTTCCTCGAAGGATGCTACAACAAGCAAGACGATTCGCTCACATTTGCAATCAGCCTGAGTTACAAAAAATTGTATTCGAAAACATTTTGAGCATCAAATGTCGTGTTATTATTGCAATATAAAATATCATAAAAGTTGTCAAGGATCCACAGTTATAGAGAACGTAACAGAGATTATATTATAATATTACCACAGTGAGCATTTGTCGGATTGTTTGACTTTTCACATGCCTATTTCATTGATAATAATTATTATGGTTCCTGTGCCTCGTTATATCCACGTCAAGAAAAGCTGATATTCATATTAATATTATGAAATGTTTGTCATCATAGTATTCCTAAAAACCAAAGAGGAGACCCATACATTTAAGACCTTAATTTAATTTACTTTATATTTCAATCTGAAAGGCCGCTGGTCACAACATATTTATTACACTGTTCCCCTTGTCTTCCACTTTCCATCAATGTTTCATCGATATTCTGTTTCAACATTTACACTCATACGAAATTCCTTAAATAACTTGGCTTTTGTAGAATAAAGCAGCAACAGAGGATATCAGCTTGGGATCTTATTTTTTATTCCAAAAACGTGATTGTATGTACACTACTGATACTTTCCTCTTTCTATGGCTTAGAGTCATGTAAGTAACCCTTCAAAGACATTATCTTAAAACTTTAAAATGCAGCAAGCGACGGTAAACTGCAGCAGCTATAATGCACTAAAGAGCAACGAACATCGACATGGATCTCAACACAAACATTGCCCCACACGAACGCGACGTCGCAGCCATCGTTTTGCTCTTCATCTGTCTCCTTTCTCAACTTCTCCTCCTTCTTCCCTTCATCATCATCATCAGCATCATCATCATCATCATCATCATCATCATCATCATCATCATAATCATCATCACCACCATCATCATCATCAT